GGCTTGAGAGTTCTGGAAGTTGGTCACTGGTGATTCCTGGGTTGCCAGCTTCTCCAACCACCAGTTTGGGATGTATGAGTCAGAAAAAGAGAATGGAATGCACACAATGCTTTGTCATTCGTGGGATTCTAACAGGTCTGCCTGCTTCTTTCCACTTCTCAGAGTCTTCTGATGCTTGTTGGTATATAACATCCAGAATTCTTATCTGTTCTTAGTGGAAGGAATAGGAAAAAGTACACATGCTCCATGTCGTCTCTGCCTTCCTTGGTATTTGGGATACCTGAGACAACAGTATAGGCTGCTCAAGATACATTTATTTACCTCTCCTAAAATGAGACAAGAAAGAAGAAAAGTACAATTACGGTATCAAAGCTGGTTGGTTCTCTCAAGGTCATACTCAACATCAGATTATTCGTCTTTACCCTTGTCTTCTCTAAGTGGGAATTTAGGTTGGAGAATTAACTGGAGACAAGGAACATTATCCTTGTTAATATTTAATATTTGTGTATAATTATGCATTATGATTAAAGAATGAAAATGGAGTCATTTATAAGCTAGGAAAATACTGAATCCTTATCAAAGCCATGATGAGGATGTTGAAAAAGTAGTGATGGGGAAATTGTATTTAAAGTCATCTTTCATACTTGTGATAAGCTAATTATTATCAGTAATTTACATAGGTACACAATGTACATGAATATTAACACAGTTTTAAACAGGTGGTGACGTTCTCATTAATGATATGTATTCTGTGTGACAGGGTCACCAGTTGGCCATCGCACTGTGTCACATGGTCACTTTGGCTGGAATCCTGTGGGGCTGTGGAGGAGATTCACCATGGTGAATTCAACACAATACCTGTGTTCACATAATCTAAGCTGATTTTGAAGTTGTATTAGAAAATGGAAAATGTTACAAAAGCGCAGAGTAAAAATAAATCAGAACTGCCAACATCGTAACCATTTCAGGTTTACCAGGTGAGAGAGAGATTATCTGGATTTTCATTTCCTGGAAGATGTGAAGGATGAAATAGAGCCAGGGAGACACAATACTGTCAGGTTTAGGGCACTGATTGTAGAATGTTCAGAAAATAATTATGACTATTTGCTGCCTCAAGCCATATACTCAAAGATGAACTGTATTTTCATTACAGCTAAATATGTTATTTAGAGTCCATATTGTTATTAAAATATCCTGTACTTGACTGTAAGCTTTAATGTGTAAAAGATAATGGCCTGTCTCTGAAATAGATTTTAAAATTTTTATTCAAGAAAAGGACTTCCTAGATATAGATTTTTCATACAATAAGCAAAGGAAAATTGTTTCTATAGTATCACCGAATCCTCCAGGCAAAGGTAATGAGAACAGGCAGAGGCAGAGAAATTCATCTGATTATTAAGATTTGCTTAAATGTCCCCAAAACTGTTGTTGGTTACTAATAATACATTAAATATATATTATGGTCTAAGCCAAGCAGGAGAAAATGAAAATCTAACGCTCTAGTCTGTGATGGGGAAGAACTTTATATTTTGGCACAGGTATAATTTCCAAGAACGAAGTACTCCAAGAAAGACCAAAGCTCAGCATTCCTTTTTTATTCTCTATTTAGTAACATAAAATATAGTCACTATAAAACTGCCGCACTAAGGCTTTGGGATCTTGAAATTTTAATCTTAGCATCAAAAGTGCTTTGTGTATGCAACATCCTTCCCTGCCTGCATTTGGAAAATTGACAAAAGAAATGTGACCATTACATTACAATAAATATTTGCTTGTTTCATGATAATCTTGGGTCAGAGCTATCAAATATCGGTCCATGAAGATTCCTTTGTACACTTTTAAAATGCCCATGGGACTGATGAGTGGACTCAAGAAACTGTAAATGCCGAGGTTACAATGTGGGAAACCCACACTATTTCCAGTCACAGTCCCATCAGAGAATGGTCCCTGTATTATTTGTCTCATGCAGTATAACAAATTACTGCAAGGAAGGTCTGATGGCTTAAAATGACAGGTATTCTCTCAGTTTCTGAGGACCAGGAGTCTGTTGATGCTTTGCAGGTGGCTGTGGTTTCAGGTCTCTCACAGGATGCAGCCAAGCAGAAGGTCAGGGATGGAGTCATCTCACAGCTTAGGTAGGAACGGACCAGGATCCACACTCTGTCCTAGGATTATCTTCCGGAATATGGTACATGCTGACTGTGGGCTGGAGTCTCAATTCCTTGTGATACAGGCCTCTCCTGCGCATCTCTGTATGCTATCTCCATGGCCTGGCAACAGGACAGCTGGTGTAGGGTTGCAGCTTGACCTGACCACAGCTGTCTTGGTTTGTAGCAGCCATTTTGTCCATTAGGGGACTCCCGTGTGCATTTCAAATCCTGTAGGATGAACAAGTCTTTAAGACAGTCAGCTGAGCATTTAATGTCATGCCCACATCATTTTTTAAAACTGATTTCTAACATTTTAATAGTTTCTGAGAACGCTTGGGCATATTCCATTCAACCGTGTCTCATCTTTGTCTAGTTTAGCATATAAAGCTCTTTGTCCTACTTTGGGCTGTGGGGATCCTACTGTCTTGCTGCCATCTACGGAATTGCTTCTGCTTCTATCTGGAAGCACCTATAAATTACACTCTGTGCTATCTTGAATTTGTCCACCTCTTTCTTCAGTCTCAGGACATCTTTTGTCTTTGGTGACTGGTTCTGCTATACTAGGTTTTTTCTGAAATAGCTGCACAATGAGTGATCTGAAACAGACAGCCTGGAGCCATTAGTAATAATCTTTGAAGTGGTTTACTGTCACTTCTGCTTTATTCTATTGTTTGCCCAGACAAACCATTGTACGATATGGAAGGTACAATTCCAGGCTTCATGGTACATGTGGGAGGAGGAAGTACGTTTCGAACACCAGGAAGTGAGGCTCCACTGTCCGCCATCTTGGAAGCTGACTACCAAAGGTTCAGAGCTGATGTGCAATTTGGATTCATATAGTGGTGGCGGACCTATGGCATGCATGCTATAGTGGGCTGTTTGTATCACTGAAAACTAAAAGTTTTGCCATTAATCATTTAGAACTTGGATGAAAGCATGCCTTTTCTAATGGCTGTTGCCTATTTTCGGGATGAAATTATAACCAAGGCTACAGTTACCATTCAGAGAAGCAGGGGCAAACAGAAATGGCTAATGTTTCTTTGCTAACATTGATTAACTTTCTACACTTTCAATTCAACTGCTAGTCACATTTTTCATGGCTACCAAGGTCCAAATATAATTTCAAAAATATGTACGATCTATAGTGTAGGCTTGAGAAAGATATAATTTATATACTGAAGTACAACAAAACAGTCTGCTGTCACGAAAAGGTGAGTACCATCCTATGCATTTAGGAATAAAATTTTAAAACCTTGCTCTGAAAAAGATGGAAAATAAGAGACATTTTTTTTTTCTCTCATTTCCTGGCTTGAATGATTGAATTGGATTTTATAATACCGAAAGGAACCAATGCCTGCTTTTAGCCTTTCTATTTTGGGTGAAAGATAAGTCACTTTGAACACTCCTGGTAGGAAATTGTCAGATAGAGAGACATGATCATTAAAAATTACCATTCAAACTTCCTGGCTTTGTGTAAAAGAAATTTCCCACAGTTTTCAATTTAGGAGTTTCTAAAGGGTGCTATATGAATCAGCTGCTGAAAACTCACGAATCAAAAGGTACCTGTTCTAGGCAAGAAAATAGAGTGGTAGAGCACCCATAGCTCCCCTGCACTTGTATGCATAAATAAATAGCCAATTTCAAACCTAGTAGAATTTTAACCATCAAATAATTTAACCATCTGGTCAGGTCAAGACCCATCTGCAGGCTAGCAAGGCTGTTTAAAATCAGTGGCTTCAACAGCAGCCAGTAGTAAACAGCTCTTTTCTCCTCAGGCCTGGCTAGGTAGGGAGTCCAACTTTCAGGAAAGGGAGAAACAGATCATAGGTTAAAAAATGATGACCTTTGCCTGCAGAGGAAAAGGACGGCTGTGGTGAGCCAGCTTTACATAAATAAAGCCTCTCCACCTGGGTTACATTTTAGGAACAGATTCTCTGGAATGGGACTCACCCACCAAAGTTCTTTTAAGGCTCCTCAGGTTATTTTAACCCGCATTCAAAGCTGAGAGTCTGTCTTAGAACTATGGACTCCATTTTAGCACCAATCGGAATCAGCTGGAGACCAGGATAAACTACAGAATGCTGAACTATTGGTTCTTAGTTTCTGATTCAGTAGGGATGCATGTGTGTTTGTGTGATAGGTTCTGGGGAACCTTGATCACTTGCGTTTTTGAAAGGTCTTCAGGTGATGCTATCTACTGCTTCCAGCACTGTAAGAATCAGCCTTAGATTGGTTCTCGTTATAGTTGAGGTTCAGCTGCAAGTGGAGTTTAGGAGGAGGAATGAAAATGGTAAAAGCAGAAATCACTAATCTTCCCTTCTCTCATCACACCCTTAAAAGCTGAAGGTGAACTGCACTCTCCCACAGCACTGCCCTTTCTTATTTTGTCAGTCTTTATTTCAAAGATTGAGGAACTAAAGGCCCCGCCCCGGAAGTTAGTCACACTCAGCTCATTAACCCCAGCTCCTCCCCCAGCCCCCACAACCTTGAGGTTGCCTGGCAGCGCACTGCACCGTTAAAAAGGTTCCTTGCTAGTCCCTCCTCAGGTGCTGCGTGCTGCGCAGGCGCGAAGGGCCAGGCGCTTGAGCTGGCGTCATGGCCGGCATTAACCCGGTGGTAAGGAGAGTCCTGGTGCCTGTGAAGCGCAAAGCTGCCCAGTTCGTGGCAGTTGAACCCCACGCACCCTTTAATTCTCAGTAGCATGTCGCTGACTTTCATAAGCCTTCTTTAACTCTGTTGGAGGAAAAGGATGAAGGCCTGTAGTGCAGCCGGAAGTGGGGCTCTCCCCTTCAAGGACAGGTGCCCCCGCAAACTGAGGTGGTGTGTGCCCAGTATTTAGAGAGGCTTTGGCACCAGTGTGTGAGACCATCTTCTCTAGAGTCTGGGGCAGGAGGACCCCAAGTGCGCGCTCATCCTGGGCGATTTATTGACGCTGTCTCAAAAAGGAGGGCTGGGGATGCAGTTCAGGCGTGGATTGCTACCTTGGCCTGCGCCAGGCTCTGTATTCAGACCCGGCATGGGGAAAAAGTGTTTAGAGGTGAATTCACCCGCCATCCTGCTGACTTCTACACGTTTAGATATTTCCCAAGTTCACTTGTGTTAATTCTTAATTTCAGTGTGGGCAGTGTTGTTGACTTAAACTATATTATTTAGTAACCTGAAACAGCAGGTAATGTGATATGGCTTGTTACTCCACCAATTTTTAATATCTTCTCCTACTCTTTCCTTTTCCTATCCTTTAGCATCTTAAGGGTTACTAAGGCTCACAGAATTTACAGGCTCAGTAACATTTGTGAGACCCTCCACCAATCTTAAACTTGAGTTAAGAGAAGAAAAGTCTTAGTCTTTATTTTTAACAGGCTTTATATTTCCTGAGAGACAATGTTCTTGTCCGGATAGATTTTAAAAATTTGATGTGTGTGTGTGTGTATATAGCAAAAAAGATTTTATTTTTTGAGACGTACTGTTTTAATGTGTATCAATTTTGTGATTATGTTTTAAGAAATTAAAATACTTAAATAAAGGCTTAACAATTATCAGTTATCAACATACTTGATGGTGAACTCCAGCAGAGTGTGTGCATGTTTCCTTTTTCTTTTTTTGGGGGGTGCATGTTTTCTTTTAGAGAAGGAGCTAAGATGGGCTTCTGGACTAAATATAGTTTCAATAAAGATAACAGAGTAAGCAATGTAAAGTCTTAACTGTATACCTAACAAGAGTTCAAACTGTTTTACTTTGAAAAACTGTTCAAATGGGTTCCTTTTGACTGCTGCTGTTACACTCAGGGCAGAGCTTAAAGATGTTTTTATCCCTAGGAATTTTTCCCTCTAGCTCTAAGTGTGATCACACTAGCTGGGATTAATGCTGAAGCATCAATGTAGAAAGCCTTTATCAGGGTAAACTGTTTTAGAAGAAGCAACTAATCTTGGGGCACTTAGTCTTAATGGATATGCTTGTGAGTAACATATTATTTAAATGTTACTGATTGGTCTATTCAAAGGCTTACCCTGGATCTTTAGAAGGATTAGTATAAAACTTAGCTTCTCTTGGTGTGAACAGAAGTATTGAGGGTGTTTTATGGGTAATATGAAGAAGCAATCCTAGAATACTAGAAGTTTCATTTTGTTCTGATTAAATGATTTGAAATAAGAGCAACTCAACTAAATTCCTGTTTTGCCATTTTTTATCAGTGGAACTTGTACTGGATAGTATTATCAGCACACTTAGTGTTGACCTTTTGGTTTGGGGGCTTAGGTGAAGCACATTTTACATATATTAGAAGGACTGGGTTTATTTCACCTACTCATTGTTTTGTTCATATAACCAGTGTATAATCTGGGTGGAAATCTTAATTTTATTTCGTGACACAATTTTATTAGGACCCTTTGGGATGTTGTGTCTGTACATATTGTGGGTGGGTTAGGTTTGTGTATGCCTCTCTTAGTTTCTGTTGTAGGAAATCCATGTTGGTGCAATTGTATTGGATAGAAGGGAGGGAGAGTCTCTTTGTGTGTTTGGGAAGATGAGTTTTGATTACCCTCCACTTTTGAGCCCCAAAGCTTATTTACGTTCATTGAAATAACATAGTGAACACTGAAAAAGCTATTTTGGCTCCATTGAGAAAAAAGATAGTTTTTTTTTCAGCTGTCAAATTAATTTCCTTTTTTAAAAATGGAACAGGGAAGTTATGTACCGATAAAAAGCCAAGTAACGTAATCATGTATATCTTTATGACAACATCCTTATGAGATTCTCTTATATTTTATAGTAGTCCTGTAATTTAGCCATAGAGGACTATAAGGGGACCATGGCCAGCTGAGCTTAGGGGTCTGAAGTCAACACAATTTATGGAAAACCAAGACTAACTGCAAGGGGGGGTGTACTTAGAAAAAATATTTTTTTAAAACAGATTGGGAAGTGTACACTGCATGTCTTTTAAGGCGAAATACATTCATACTTAAGAATTTCAAGCTTAAATAATTTCTTTTATGTAGCCTAAACTCTACAGATCTATAATTGAAGATGTAATTGAAGGAGTGCGGGACCTATTTGCTGAAGAAGGTATAGAGGAACATGTTTTAAAGGACTTGAAGCAGGTTTGTAGACAATACACCTTTCTCTCCCTGTATTCATCTAAAAAAAAACCCAGATAAATTATAGTTCTAACTCTTCAATTATAGTTTAGTAGTGATTCAGTGTGCCATCAACTGACAACTTAAATTTAAAAGCTTAAAAAATAGAAGCAAATATCCCGATAATTTTTTTTTAAAGAAGCAAACTTTTCTTTCTTTTTTTTTTTCCCCTCTGTAGCTCTGGGAAACCAAAGTTTTGCAGTCTAAAGCAACAGAAGACTTCCTCAGAAATAACATCCATTCACCTTTGTTCACCCTTCAATTGCCACACACCTTGCACCAAACATTGCCATCAACAGGTTGGATAAAATTTATAAATCAATACTATTTATATCCTCAGAACAAATTATCATTTGGTAATGTTTTTCAATTAGGGTAATGTCCTTCAGATAGAGAAAGCTTGGAACTACAAAACCGTTAGCATTAAGTGAACACGTATAAATCATCATGTCATGTCATTGATTTAAAAGCTCAGATTATTTGAACTAGTTTTTTTAAAAAAAATTAAATTTCACAAAAGTGACTAAAGCCTTATTTTAGAGAGACAAGTTATATAGTTTGTGAGCGTGGGGTGCCCATTGGCTGTTTCAGAGAGTATGATTTGGTCTACCATTGCTGAAGTAGCAGAGGGAAAGTAGGAAAGGCAGGTGCTTGCTTGCTTTTATGTTCTTTATCTTTTACTTCCTGTGCATCTTATAGATCTGTTATTGTATTGGAAGCAAAGTGGAGAATGAACAAGAATATGGAACTTATGGTTACTTACTGTTTTGGTTATGTAAAATAATGGTCAGAAATGGATTATATGCATTTTATCTTTATTCTTGGACTTGCTGAATCTAGACCTGTGTATCTAAGGGAAATATTTGTTCATATTATATATGTCCATTTAACCTGGAAAAGACTAGTAAAATATAAAACATATTATTCTCTTTGTAGCTTCTTTTCCTGTTCTGATTCTTCAAATCTTTGCACTGATTGTATGTATGTATGTATGCATGTGTGTATATATATATATATATATATATATATATATACACACACACACACACACACACACACACACACAAATAGATTTTATTAGGTTTAGTTGTAATTGGGTAGGGTCTACAAGAAATAAGGGTAGATTTTGGATTAGATTATCCGGAGTAAGATTTTTTTCATGCTTGGGAAAAGTCACACGAAAATTACGTGGGCCAAGGTGAAGAGAAAATATTAAGGATGCAAATACTTCTTCTACTGCAAAATGGGAGGATGTAAATGTGGCAGCAATTTTAACTTATAAAATGAAATAAATTAACAATGAATTTTAAGCTACCAAACACAAGTTGTATCTCATACTGTACTTATACAACTTTTCTGTGTAAGAACTAGACATGACAGTTTTAATTGTTGACACATTGAAACATTTTTCATCAATCATTGGGTTTTTGGCTACACTTTCCTTTTAATTTTACTATTGTATCCGTACATTTTTTACTATTTCTTTGCTCAATGTTCTAGACAATTTTTAGAAACTGTTTTTTATTAAAGAGCTCTAAAAGTTCATTTTACTTGGGGTTGACACGAGGGTGTGAGGGGAAGGGGGACAATACTTTTATCAAAAGCATGGTTAATGCCTGTCAGATTTTGTTCAAAATTGCAGTACTTCATTTTGCCACAAGATGGTAATATGACCAGCGATTTAAATCAAAATAGTCTGGCCTCCAATATATCAGGCTGGTTTTCACTCAGCACCTTATTCCTATTCTTTGTCTTAGGAGTTAGAATAATAGAAATAATTACATTAAAATAAGCAAATTTTCTCCTTATTCTTTTCTACGTGATTTATAATGAGGTTTAAGAGAAATTGCTGTATCCTTTAAAAGTGCATGATAGACCTTGTTTCTGTCTTCATTTCTTGGTGCTCTACAATAAGATTCTTAAAATAAATAGCCTCATAAATTTGAAGTATTTCTTAATTGTGTCTTCTCGTGGTATGCTCTTTAAAGCCTGATTAAAATAACTTAAACTTCTACAATCTTTTTATTTCTTTTGATAATGAGTTCAAATTAGATCTGCAATTGAATAAGTTATTTGCCTTTGTTCCACTTTTAAACCTTGTTTGCACTGCCATATTTTCTTCATTGTATTATTCATTTGTTTAGTAATTTCCTATGTCTTCAATTTTCAACTGCTTTTAGTCTCAGGATACACTTTTGAAAATTGAAGACCCTAAAGAGCTTTTAAAAAGTGGATTCTAAGTATCAGAAATTAAAATTGGGAAATTAAAAAAAATACTGGTTTATTAATTTAAAAATCCAGTCACATGATAATGTAATAACATAATTATGAAAATTGATAATTTCCAGGACAAAAAGTACTTAGTTTTACTTTTGTGCAAAACCTGTTAATGTTTGATTTCAAAAATAGTTGAATTCTTATATCTACTTTTATTTAAATTGTATTATATATTTAAGGTGAACAGTATGATGCCTTGAAATACAGATAGTGAAAAGATTACTATAACTCAGGCAAATTAAAAAGCTTATCTCATGTAGTTACTCATTTTTAAAACTTGTAGCAAGAGTACCTCAAGTCCCTTCTTTTAGCAAAACTCATGAAATCAGTACAAATATTAGCTAAATCCTCAGTCTTGTACGTATTTCTAAACTTATTCATCCTACATATTTGTTACTTTGTGACCTTTGACTTACATCTCATTTCCTGTTTCCCTGCCTCTGGTAACCACTATGTATTCCCTATCTGTGTATTTTACTTTTCTTTTCCTTTGTTCAAAATATATTTTTTAATATAAGTGAGATCATATTTTTCTTTGTGTTGGCTTATTTCACTTAGCATAAAGTCCCCCAGATTCATCCATGTTGTGGCAAAGGGAAGAACCTCCTTTTTACAAGTGAATAACAATCTTTCTGTAAATATACCTCATTTTCTTTATCCAGTTAGCCATCATTGGACATATGGCATTGGTTGTCCCTGTATTTTGGCTATTGTGAATAATTTTGCAGTGAACATTGGAATGTAGGTCTCTTTATGAGGGATCAATTTAATTTCTTTTTAAAAATTTTAAAATTATTTTGCATTTTAATTTCTTTTGGGCATATAGCCATAGGAAGGATTGTTGGGTTATATGGTAGTTGTATTTTAGTATATGTGCTGCCGAAGTGAGCACAAGTAGTTGTGTTTTAAATTTATGAACTTCTGTATGCTTTCTGTACAGCTGCACCATTCAATATTCGTACTAGTAGTGTACAAAGAAACTTTTCTTTATATCTTCCCCAACACTTGTCATCGCTTATCTTTTTGATAGTAGTCATCCTTGCAGGTATAAGATGATAACCCATTGTATTTTTGCATTTCTCTGATGATTAGCCATGTCGGTCACTTTTTGCATATCTGTTGGTTATTTTTTATGTCCTCTCTGGAAAGAGGAAATTTCTTATATCCTTTTTTGCTCATTTTTAAATTTACTTTTTTTCTGTTGAGCCGTGTGACTTCTTTATAGATTTTGGACATTACCCTTTATCAGACATATGGTTTACAAATATTTTCTCCCAATCTGTTTGCCACCTTTTATTTTATTGGCTGTCTCCTTTGCTATGCAGAAGTTTGATGTAGTTTGATGTAGTTCCTTGGGTTTTGGAGTGATATGCAAAAAACCATTTTTAAGGTTAATGTCATGGAAGCTTTTTCCAATTTTTCTTGATTTTTTTTTATTTTGTGAGTTTTGTGATTTGTGAATTCAGGTTTAATGTTTAGGTCTTTTATTCACTTTGAGTTTTTTTTTTTTGCATATGTTAAGGATCCAATGTTATTTTGCCTGTGAAAATAGTATTCATTCCCATTTATTGAAGAGACTGTTTTTTCCCCATTGTCTTTTTTTTTTTTTTTTTTAGACAGGGTCTTGCTATGTAGTTTGGGTTGACTTTGAACTCACTATGTAGCTAGGCTGAGAGATAATAGTCTAGACTGTGCCTCCTGCTACCCTTCTTTTTATTGTGATGTTGGGGATTGAACCCAGGGCCTTGAGTGTATAGGTCAGTGCTTTGAATTACGTGCTCAACCCTTAATTTTCCTTTCTGGAAGGGTCTTTGTCTGGCTGTGGTGTAAAGGTGATGCTGGCCTTGCAAATGTGTTTGGAAGTAGTGCCTCTAATTCTTCTTTTAAATAATTTTATTGGTACATGTTAGGTATAAATATAATGACATCATTGGAGATTTGTACCTTTACATAATATATCTTGATTCTTATTTTTCCCCACTCCCCTGTCCTCCCTTTAACCCCTTCACCCCTCTCTATTTACAAAGACCTTGTTTCCATTTTGAGTTAAAGAAAGATTGGTATTAATTCTTCTCTGAGTGTTTGGTAGAATTCAGTTACATAGCTATCCAGTACTGGGCTTCTTTCTTTGTTGGGAGATTTTTACTTTTTCATTGAAAAAACATTGATTAACGTGTAATGTTTGTGTGTATTTATGGAGTGCAGCATAATATTTCAGCACATGTACATAGTGTACACTGATCAAACTGGGTAACCAGTGTTTCTTTATCTTCTCTTCATGTTTGGGGCTTTTGAGCTGTTCTCTTCCAGTTCTTCATAAAATAGATAATAGGTTATTGTGGACTACACACACTTCCATGTGCAGTGGGACACTAAAACTTACTCCTTTCATCTAATTTTGTTTTGAACCTGTTATTGCACTTTGCTCCATCACCTCATGTTCTCCATCTCATTCTGTGGAAATCACTATTTTGCACGCAGGTCAACTTGTTCACCTTCCACACATAAGACAGAAAATGCAGTATCTGTCTCTCTGTGTCGGCTTATTTTACTTACTGTCTGTTGGGAGGCTTTTGATTACTACTTCACTTTTATTTTTCACATCTATTTCTACATTTAATCTATTGTAATATATTATTATTAAAATATATGCAAAAATTTCACCTTTTATAGATGTATAATTGGAAAATGAAGTAATATTTTAATAGCATTTCAGGTAATTTGATATGACAGTAAATCATAGAAACAGGGTGGACTCTGAAACTAAATACAAGGACTTTTCAGAACATTACGTTAGGGTTCATTGGCGTATATGTTTTGCACTTTAGATGGCTCTTTACCCGTGTGTCATTTTGTAATATATGTTGGTTATTTGGAAAATGTTGGTTCACTGAGTTATGCAGCTGAAAAATTATTAAGATAAAGTCAGCTGGGCATGGTGGCACACACCTGTAACCCCAGCACCAGGGACACTGAAGCAGGAGGATTTCAGGTTCAAGCCCAGCCAGGGCAACATAGTTACTTAGCAAGCCCTAGATAAAAAGTTATATTCATTAATATTACACATCTTACCCGCTATGGTAGATACATATTTTCTAAGATAAAATTTTGCTTGAATTTTATCATCGGTAAACAAATGCTCTTCATTTTTTTTTTTTTACCTTGAAGTGATGAGAATACTTAGTTCCCTTTCAAAACTGTCAATCAAATGCCTGACCAAGTCTGAAAAACCCTAGTTTCTGTCATTCTTTCAAATAAAAATGGTGTTTCTTAAAAAAAAAAGGGTAGATCAACATATAACTTTAATAATAGCACAAATGCTTCTCTTTCTGCTTTGGTACTCTACAGAAATGCTTTATGTATTCTTTCAGTTTCCTCTCATAAAATATTAAAAGCAAAGACTACTTACTGATTGAAATTTAGTATAATTAATAATTCTTAGGTTCTACCAAGGACCTTTTTAAGTGAAACTGCTTTACTGCTGGAGCTGTTTTTCCTCTCCCCTTTCTTTCTCTGAGGGAGTGGGAGTGCAGAACACTGACTGGTAGCAAGGTTTGGTGCTTGCTGCCTTCATTCATGCAGAGGCACCTGCAGGTTTACTCATCATTGTTTCTGGATCATCGGTGCAGATGTCAACAAAACAGAACAAAACTATTTAATGCGACGAAAAAGGCATGCATTGTCTTCTTTTTATAGAACTAAGAGTATTAGGGACCCCCGTGGGTTTTTCACATTACACGGAGAACTGTGGCTATATACTTATGTGTTTATGTATAATCTGTATTCCACATTTGAGAGAAATGGGATTCTATTGATAATTACCTCAGAATATTAGGTATAGACCGGGACTGTTCTGGGAAAACTTGGGTGTGTAGTTATTCTACAATTGCCTGATTTCTAGGGAACTTTAAATTAACTTCTGCTACTTGGTCTTTGTGTAACGCGATTTTTATTTTTGTGGTACTAGGGGTTGGACCCAGGGCCTTTGCACTGAACTACATCCCTAGCCCTTTTTAATTTTTTATTTTGAGACAAGGTTTCACCAAGTCACTAAGTTGCCCAAACTGGTCTTGAACTTGTGAAACCTCCTGCTTAAGTTTGCTTGAGTGCTGGAATTATATGTATGTGTCACTACACCTGGGCTTATTTTTAAATGTTTTTCTGTGATACTGTGGATTGAATCTAGGGCCTGGCACATGGTAGTGGTACTCTGCCACTACGTTCCCATCCTTTACATAGTTTTTAAAATGAAACCACCAGTCACTGTGGTAAGAAGGGAGAGGCAGAAGTGGAGCACTGAGAAGTTTGGGGGCTTTCATCTTTAAGCATTAAAATCCTCAAACTGTGGGTAGAGAAAATAGGTCAACTTGTTCTTGAAGTTAGATCTGGTAAAACTTTTATCAGTGTGATCAGCTCTGCAGGTCATTTGATGGTTAGAATATTCAGTTTGGTCATCAAGAGATACCCTCACGCTTATGATTAAACACAAAAAATAAACTGACCAGGCTCTCCATTTTTAAGATCTTGTGACTTGCCTACTAAAATTTTGAATGATCCAAAACAAAAGTAAGAACTATAAAGCTACTAATTGCTGTAACATATCAAAGAGTTTTTGATACTGAGTAGGAAAAAGCATTAATAGATGTGAATATCGTTATGCCAAATTATATTTCAAGATTTAAAAATTGTTATGGATTTGATTTCTTGCTATAAGATTTATTGTTTTTGAAATTAGCATTTCTAGAATAATGCGCATGAATTCTGAAGTTATGACAGTTGAAGTAAAGACACAAAATTAAAACTTACTTGGTTATTAAAATCATATTGAATATTTAAATATGTATTTCAGCCATAACTTAATGGTATTTATAACTTGTGAGTGTATATAAATGGTGCATATAACTTGTGAATTTTGTCTCAAAATTATGAATAGAAACTGCATGAAACTTTGCTATATATCTGTTAGTTCAGTGCTTTTATTCTGATGTCTACAAGGAAATTTGATATGTTCTTCTACAGCTCTGCTTAATTTCTTTGAATGTAGAGAATCATCCTTTAGGATTTATTACAAGGTATTTAAAAGAGAATTGTTCCTATTTTTCTCAGGAAATTCATTTAATTGCTTTAGACAGTGTATGAACAGTTTTGTTTGCTCTCAGGCTATGGCTTAAGCAATAGCAGCTTAAGCTTTGCTCACTTCAGCTAATTAAGACTAATACCATTGTGTTTGTGCCAGTCTGATTCTTTGTCATTTAGCTTTTCTAAAAGAATGCCTGTTAATAAGCAAAACCATAGATGCGAGAGGATAAAAATAATTCTGTTTCATTAACTATCAATCTGCAGCCTCACTTCTGTTTTCTGAACACGGGAAGAATGATTAGTTTAAAAAATACTTGCTCTTCTGAGCTGCTTGTGTGTGATGGGGCCCTTCTAGCATCAGAAACACATCTTTGGGGCAATTTTCCCTCAGCAATATGTGACCATAATAAATGTGACATTGATATGTGTGTGGTTGCAGAAGCATGATAAAAAGTTCTTGTTTTTATTAAAGAACAGATAAAATGACTTTCCAACAGTTCAGCAAGGTAAAATGAAGCTTGATCATTTATGGTGTATGGTTATATTGATCAACTGAAGTTCTTATATGGTCTTTATACTTATTATTTAGAGTCATTATAAGGGACAGTTAACATAGAAAAGCGGCAGATAATAAAAGAAAGATAAATGAGATTGTAGCTTTAATGCAGGCTGAGTTGGTATTCTCCTTAGAATTTCTTTTTTCTTACATTTTTCTTAGTAGCCATACCTCATTGCAAACTCTTTTTATTCATTTGTTCCTAGCTGTGCTTGTTTACTTGGTCAGAGTACTGTAAATAAGCTTTCATGAAATAAATGAATAGAAATTTATTTTGAATGTATAAAATTTAGAATGGATTTATGTTGGGTTACATATTTTTGATCAATAGTACATTCTCTTAGAAATGCACCATTTTAGCAAATACTGTATTACTTATTTTCCCCAGTGAAAAGCTGTGGAGATTTAGTGCTCCATTGATTTACTAACAGGTCAGGTGTGGTAGTGAATGCCTATAATCCCAGTGTTCTAGGTGGCTGAGGCAGGAGGATTGCAAGTTCAAGCTCTGCCTGTGCAACTTGTTGACTTAGTGAGACCCTATCTCAAAAAAAAGAAAAAAAAAGGGGGGGGAGGTGAATTTTCATGTTTTGTTAGGATTTCTAAAGTATAGTTTGCCTGATTATAATGAGATACTTCCTTTTAGTACTTTGCTTTATAACTATATAAAGTCTCTTTAAAGTTGCTGGGAAAATACAATTAAATGCTATTTTTTTTCACTTGGAATTATGTAGTTTAGAGTTCACCTTAGTCTAACATGTTAGTGGAAAATATTTAAAAATATGTATTTGGCACTTTAAAAATAGGTAAATTCTAATGATTATATAATATTTGTTTTCTATGCAGCATCATTAGTTATTCCTGCTGGTAGAACTCTTCCAGGTTTTACCACAGCAGAACTGGTATGTAGCTTATTTAAAGTACATTTTAAAATATATGCCCCACTTTTAGGGGATGGTGACAGAATGCTGGGCATAGGTATAATTTATGATCCTTTGGGTGAATGGGAAAAGATATGTTAAGGAATGAGAGACAGGAATTGTTTCTATATTATAACAGAACTCAGGAGATTCAGAATCAGTATTTTCTTCTAACTTTTCTTGCCTTCCAAAGCAGTTGTTAGCATCTGCTAAGACTATACGTACAAGGTTAAGGAGTTTCTGAAGTTATATAGTACAGAGTTTTAACCTACTATATACTATTACATACTCAGTGGATCTTAAAATAGATAATTTTGATATGATATTTTTATTTCATAATTGAGTGACCTCATAGTTTTACCCTATATGTAACTGGAATATTTTGGTCATTTTGTACCCTCATGAGGTGGTGTTTATCACTTTCCAGACTTGTAGATAGGAAATGAAATTATTATTAATAGAAAAATGAGCAGTTTTTCATGTGGTAAAGAACATTTTTCACTTTTAATTTTATTCCATAGTACTGATGGTATATAATCTACTAACTGTATTTTCATTTTCCCTCAGCCCATGGGCTGTGTTTTTAAAGTACAAAATTTAGTGGACCAATTATTTCCACTTTTTGATTAAGAACAAAACCTACCAGCCTTTATCAGTTTTGAAAAAACTGTCACTGCTCAATGGGAGATCAATGAACTATTTCTGATCTTGGAATTCATGGGGCTTTTTTCCTGATTAAAAATAATATGGTTATGTAAAGTAAAAACAAACATTTTATAAAGTAAAATGTGAAAGGTTCCTGCAGCCCTTACACTCCTACTCTTCACAGTACAAAGTAGGATTGTTTACTGTTTCTATCATTACCCTTCCTCCCTTTCTCCTTTCCTTCTTTAGTAATATAGGTGGACTCCTTTCAATGCCAGTATAGTTGACCTTAGTGGATATACCACAGTTTTATGACATTTAAATTTATTTCCAGGTTTTAAAAAATATAGCATTCTATTGATCATACTTACATATACCTGTTATTTGTGTGATAATTGGGTAAATTCCTAGGAGTAGAATTTCTGGGTTAAAGGTAAAGCATGTTTTCAAATTTGGTATATATTGCCAAGTTGTCTTTCCAATAAGTGTACCAATACATGCTCATATAAAGTGAGAACTAATTTTTCTCACATCCTCATCAACCTTGTATGTTACCTATTCTTTTAAACTTCACAGATTTGATAGACACTATTCCTTGTATTAATCTATTAATTTTAATACTATGGAGTTTAATTATTCCAATGTAGAGACTGTACACTATCATATTACAAATTATGCACTATAACACCTAATTTAAAAATTCCATTAGAACTACCTCAGAGACTAGAAGACCCTTATGCACTTGGTCTTAGCCAAAAGTCTGAGAAGCGATAGAAGACCCTTATAAATAGCTGTGGCTCTTTGTTTTTTTTTTTTTTTTTCCCCCTTGCCCTATTGGGGATTGAACCCAGAGCTTCTCACTGAGCTACATCCCCAGACATTTTTAGGTTTTATTTTTCAGGATTTTACTGAATTGCCAAGTTCCCAGGCTGGGCTTGAACTTATGATTCTCCTGCCTCAGCCTCCCAGAGTGCTGGGGTTACATGTGTGCACACCACACCCAGCTCTGTGGTTCTTATATTGACACCTTGAGAACCAGTGGCCCAGGCAACACTCTGTATTGGGCTACTAAGCCAGTGTTCATTCTATTCATTTAGATTGATGACTGCATTTTTAATGACTACATAACAGAATTCTTTATTCTTGTTGGAATGATCTAAATCAAATATTAAAAATCTGTTTTATTCAAAGAACTCAGCTCTGATATTAAATGTTAAATATTGTCAAACTGTTAAAGTCTTATCATCTTGAGTTAGATTTTTGTGATTCCTTATGCTATCATGGAAAAAGATACCAGAAAAGTCTTCTAACTTTCTAATATAAATTTCTTATATCTAGGGTACCTCAAACTCCAGTGCAAACTTTGCTTTTCCTGGCTATCCTGTTCATGTGCCAGCAGGTGTGACATTACAGACTGCATCTGGTGAGAGAGCATGCTAAGAATATTTTGTTTTTAGCATTGGTACTAACTTATAGACATTAAGTTTCATGATTTTTAATAGCTGTACAATAGGAACCTTTAATAAAACCTATTTTAAGAGTAATGATAAACCAGTCATGGTGGCATATGCCTTTAATCTGAGCACTCTGGAAGACAGAGGCAGGAGGACTGCAAGCTTTAGCCCAGCTTGGGCAATTTAGTGATTTGAGACCCTGTCTAAAGGGGGGGAAAAAAAAGAAAGAAAGAAAAAAGAATGACTACTTAGTTCAGAGTGAAGGTACTGGGTTCTATTACCAGTACTGAAAATAAAAATGGTGGTTATTACTGTCATGGAAGCTACAAAAGACACTGTATTAGGTTGTATAAGATATTTTTTAACATATTTTTTCTAGATTAAGTCAGTTGTCTGAATTTTAGCAGATATGAAAGAACAAATCTACTGTCCTGGTAGATCTCAAGGAAAAGTAAAGGAGGTGATGAGCCATAATCTCCTTTCATATTAGAGATTGCATGGTCTAATGGAAAGGACATCCAAAAGTTTAGAGGTTAATCAGCCTCTGCTTTTCAGCTGTGTCTCTTAATTTGACAGAGTATCAGAACTGTTTTTTGGGAGTTATAAAGTTGAAGTAAAACACATGACCCAGGACTAAAAAATAAATTCCTTTTTCTTATTGGTATTATTTTAAAGACAAGAGGGAAACAGACATTTAATAACTGCTGAAATTATTAAATTCTTTTTTGGGTAGCCTTTTCTTGTAATGATAAGTTTATGAAATACATTTTTATGTGATTGTTAAAATTCTGCTGTGAGTTGATAACATTAATTTATCAACTGATAGAAGGTCATGGATTAAATATTGGGGGTCTCTATGTATCTCAGAATGTGCCATATAAACAGTAGTGGGAAAAAGGTTAGAGGTAAAGCAAAACATATAATTTTAAAAATAAGAATAATGCATATTTGTTATAAAAATACAAAACAGTATAAAGATTAGAAGAAGAATTCCTGGAGATATATCAATAAGCTAACAGTGATTATTTTTTCCTAGCCTGTTGGTTTTTTTTTTAAAGGAAGTTAGAATTTTTTATATTTACAATTTTGTTTTTTCCTTTTATTAGGCCACCTTTATAAAGTTAATGTACCAATTATGGTGACACAGACTTCTGAAAGACCAAGTATTCTTCAGCATCCAATTCAAGTGTTCCAGCATGTTGGGCAGCCTTCAGTAATACAGGCCAGTGTTCCACAGTTAAACCCATGTTCTCTTCAAGCAACTTCTGAAAGACCACAAAGAATGGAAGCTATGTTGCAGCAACCCACAATTCTACATTCTGGGCCAGTGGATAGGAAACACTTAGAAAATGCTACCAGTGATACATTTGTACTTCCTGGAAATGAGCATGGAATCCTGTCAGAAGCTTTGTTGAGCCAGCAGGAAAGCCCTCAGTGTGTCTGTGTGTCAGGTGTTGTATTTCCTTCTCAGGACTCTCCCATACGTTCCAGCGTGGGGCCAGTACTCGGTGTTCCTGCTCGAGTGACTCAAAATTTGCTTGATGGGTCTCTCTCTGAGGGCTCTCCGCGGATTCTTCATCATCAAGTGACTGACACACAACCTCATCTTCTTAAATATTGTATGTATGGTGGTGATTCCATAAATCAGCCAAGAGAAATAGAGGAACCCAGAAGACTACCTGTATCCAAGAAGGTACAGTTCTATGTTTTAGCTTCTTGGTTTTTTGGGAACAGATAGTGGCCAATGATTAGACTTCATGAGTTTCTTTTTTAAACTATAAGTTTAATCAGAATTATATCTTTTTTTCTTAGAAAATTATTTCTTTATTGTTTTAAATTGTAACCACATGATCTTAAAATAGTCATACTCTGCATTTCTAAACTTTTAATTTCAAATAAGTCAGTAAAATTGTTTAAAGTAAATGCATTTTTTCATTGAGTTTATTGGCACTTTTTAAGTATACAGTACAGTTACATTTATCTTTGGGATCTTGTACACTTACATGACAGATCTTGGTTCTCATTTTTTCCTCATACCCCTACCCTCCCTTTACTCCCTTCCTGCTCCCCTATTTACAAAGTCTTTGTTTCTATTTTTTCCTTTTCTCATATTTTTTCCCTTATTTCCTTTCCCCCCACCCTTCCCACTTCCCCTATACCTTTAACACTTTTCTTCCTATTTCCCATCGTCAGTTATACAATTTGGATCTTACTTACAGTTTTTCACACCAGAGAAACTATTTGTTTAAATATGTGTGTCCTATTTATTTCACTTAAGAGTATAGCCTCAGTATGCATCCATTTTCCTATGAATGACTCTAGTTTCATTCTTTATGGCTGAGTAGTACTCCTTTTCAGTTTCACTGAAAAGTTTAAAGAGTAGTGGCAGTAGTTCTTCTCTAAATGTCTTTTAGAATTCAGCAGTGAAGCCATCAGGACCTGGGCTTTTCTTTGCTGGTAAACTTTTAATTACGTTTTCAGTTTCACTGATTGTAATTGGGGTGTTTAGAATTTTTTATCTTCTTCATTCAACTTTGGTAATTCAAAAGTATCTAGAAATCTATCCATTTCTTCTGTGTTTTCCATTTTATTAGAGTACAGGTTCTTGAAGTAGGTATTGATGATCCTCTGGATTTCTGCTGATCTGTTGTGACTTCACCTTTTTCATTCCTAATTGCATGGGTCTGAGCCTTTTCTTTGCTTTTTTTGACAAGGTTGACAAGATTGGCTAAGGGTTTATTGGTTTTATTTATTCTTTTGAAAAACCAACTCTTCCATTCATTGATATTTTTTGTATCATTCTCTTTGTTTCCATTGCATTGATTTCTGCTGTGATCTTTAAAATTTCCTTCCTTGTATGAGCTTTGGCAGTTTTTCTTGCTTTTATTTTTCTAGGAGCTTATGATTCATTATTAGGTTGTTTATTCGAGCTTGCTCTGTTTTCTGAGTGTGGGAATTCACTGCTATGAATTTTCCGGGTAGAACTGCCTTCCTTGTTTCCCATAGATTCCTGTATGTTGTATTGGCATTATCATTTATTTGTAAAACCTGACTAATTTCTTCTTTAATTTCCTCTGTGACCTATTGATTTTTTCAGGAGGGTGTTGTTAAATTTCCATGTGTTTGTGAAGTTCTTAGCATTTCTTATGCTAGTGATCTCCAGCTTAATTGCACTATGGTCTGATAAAATAGATGGGATAACTTTGATTCCTTTGCATTTATTTAAACCTGTTCTGTGAGCTAGTATGTGGTCTCTTTTGGAGAATGACCCATGTGCAGTATATTCTGATTTTGTGGGGTGGAACACTCTGTAGCTGTCTATTAAGTCCATTTGTTCAAGTGCTTGGTTCAGTTCTATGATTTTGTCATTGGTTTTTTTTGTTTAGATGATCTGTCTGTCTGTGATAGTGGGGTATTTAGTTCTCCCACTACAATAGTATTAGTGCTTATTTGGTTTTTCATGTCCCTTAATAATTGTTTTATATAGTTGGGGGCATTAATATTTTTTGCATATATATTTATGATTGTCATCTCTTCCTCTTGGCTTGTTCCCTTTACAAGGATGTAGTGACCTTCTTTGGCTCTCTTAATTAGTTTTAGTTTGAAATTTACTTTGTCTGTGAGTAAGATAGCTACCCCTGCTTTTTTTGGGGCTCCTGTCGCATGTAGAACTGTTTTTCATCCTTTCACTTTCAGTGTATGAGTTTCTTTTTGAACTAGGTGTATTTCTTGTATGCAGCATATTGTTGGATTTTGCTTCTTAATCCATTCTGCCAGTCTATTTCTTTTGATTGGTGAATTGAGGCCATTAACATTGATAGTTATGAATGATATGTATTGACTTATCATTGTCATGTTATCATCCTGTTGTTGGCTCTTTTTAATTTTTCCCCTTCTCCCTTTTAGTTTCTTGCTTTGCCTAGTTGATTTGCTGTGTTGGGCCTCAAGGTGTTTTGACCTTCATTGTCTTTTTCCTGAATATTGTTTAGAATTGTTTGTAGTGCTGGTTTGGTATTCATGAAGTTTCTCAGGTGTACTTTGTCATGAAAGTATCTTGTTTCCCCATCCATTTTAAAAGAGAGTTTTGCATGATACATCAGTCCAGGTTAGAGTTTGTTTTCTCTTAGGACTTGAAATACCTCACTCCAGGCTCTCCCTACCTGAGGGTTTATGTTGAAAAGTCTGCTGTGATTCTGTTGCACTTTCCTTTGCATGTGATTTGTTTCTTTTCTCTTAACTGCTTGTAGTAGTTTGTTCTTCTGTTGGGTTTCTTGGATCTTGACTATTATATGTCTAGGTATAGATTTTTTTTTTATTATGGCTAGTTGGAGTCTTGTATGCCTCACTTATCTGTATGTCAAATTCTTCCCCTCTGTTTGGGAAGTTTTATGTCATTAATTCTGTGGAGATCTTTTTGAAGTCATTTGTATTTTTCTCCTGGTACTTCAAGGATTTGTGTCAGTCTTAGGTTATTCTTCTTTGCATCATCTAGGAGTTGTTGGATCGATTTCTCATGATCCCTTGCTGTTTTTAAGAGATCTCTCTTTTCATGGTCATTGACTACAATCCTGTCGTCTATATCTGAAATTCTGTCTTCACATTCATTTATCCTGCTGTGAATGGTTTCAGTAGAATTTTTAATCTCCTGAATATCTGTTTGAATCTGTTTTGTGGTTTCCATTTCTTTCCTATGCTGGGCCTTCATGGCTTCTATCATGTTCCTGAGTGCCTCTATTTTTTTGTCAGTTCCTGTTTTAGAGTCTCTAATCATGTCTTTCATTGTGCCCACCATCTCTGTAGTTATCTGGGAAATTATTCCTGTTTTTAATTTTTCTAGAGCCTGATTGATCTGTTTTGTTACTTCCAGTGCTATGAGTTCAGGATGTCCTGCTGGTTGATTGTCAGGCTTTTCCACCTCATTTTCCCTAAAGTTTGCCATTGGTGAACTGGAAGACTGTCTTTGTGCCTTGCTTAAGTATCTTCTCATTTTTATTTTTGTTGTTGGGCTGTCCTTGGTTTAATTCCTGGGTTAGTACTTTGGTCTTCCTGATATAGCTGCTCTTTAGGTTTTGAGTCTTTAATGACTCATAGACACTCTCATTTTAATAATATCAGAAAGGACAACTCTTAAATCAATCAGAACCCATTAGCCCAGTTGATACAATCAGCAACACAATAGCATCAAGCATAGTTTAGAAATTGACCATTTGTGGTAGTTATTAATTTATCACCTTTAAACCATGGGAATTAAATAAAAATCGAGGACCAGCCCAAAATATGTTTATAGTGAATAAACTCTTCAATATAGCAACTTTATCCTTCAGGATGGGGACTTAGAAGGAGTTAGGAGGAGAGGAATAGATAGGTAGAAGAATAGGAGAAGGTTTCAAGAGAAGCCAGAGGACACAGCATGATCAAGCAAACTCTAGGAAACTGTTGAAGGCAAGACAGAAAGACAGAGTGCAAGAACAAAGACAAGAATAGAACAACTTAACAGTAATAGGGAAGCTATGAATTAGACTCACTTTTCTTTTAAACTAATCACACTTGAGTGAAAGAAAAAGAAGAAATCTGAATTAGGGCAGGGTCAGGAAGAAAAAGGGACATAATGAATAACATGGGGGAGCAAGAGACTGAGTGGTAAAAAGAAAGAAAAAAGTAAGAATTTGCAGAATGGGAAAAAATAAAATTTTAAAATTAAAAAGTAAAAATAGGAAATGAAAGAAAAAATTTGAAGAGCCTCTTTCAGTGTATATCTCTGCTGTCACAATGAACATTGTGGACAGCAGTGTGCAGAACTAAGTCAATTAAACTCAGCTTGTCAAAGGCAGACCCCTGAGATTCAGGCTGAATTCTGGCTGCAAGGCCCAAGTTGAGTTTCCTGACCTCCTGCAGGGTTGAACTCTGCAAGGTTCTACTGCAGCTTCTAGCTGCCCTTCCCCTGAAGATAGTCCAAGTTCTCATAAAAGGTGGTGATCCCTCCAACTTACCAACTGTGGAGGTCTGGTGTGCATTTATTGCAGTTGTTCACTTCCGTTCTATCTTCTGGAGCTCAGTAAAATGGTCTTTATGACCACCTGTGCTTCTGCAGTGTGTATCCAGTTACTGGCACAAGCGGGAGGCCTGAGAGCACTGGGGGATGGGGATGCTGCAGAGGCACCCACTTTGCTGGGTGGTCCTCACCAGACAGCTCCGATGAAGGCCTGGAGCGCTGGCCACAAAAATGCAATTTTTTACAGTAATTATTTTATCCGTCATTTACATTGTGAGAATCTTTCTTTTTTTTTTTTTTTGTGGTGCTAGGGATTGAACTTAGGAGGCAAGTAAGTGTTCTACCATTAGGTCACATCCCCAGCTCAAGATTTGTTTTTTTTGGTCTCTAGATAAAATTTAAGATTCAGAAATTCTTCATGGTAATTTAATGAATATTTTGAGATTATTCATTTATGCTTAACATACAGTAAACCTCCAAAGCAATTTTTGTTTTGCCTAATTTTCTTGAATTCACATATGGAAGTTTTCTCTCCATGAGAAATTCTCTGACTAGAAATTTTGTTTTTAAAATACTGATTTTCTTAATTTCTTCTGGAATGCAAACCACTAGAAAAAAAAAGCTACTTCTTAACTTTCCATAAATTCATAAGTCTGCACTATTAATTTCCAAGGAATTGATAGTGATGGAAGAAAGTTTCA